CCCCCCCGATGAAAACAGCGTTGCAGCCTTTTAGGCACATAACGTTATCATTTACAAATTCTATCTCTGCTGATTTCCCTAGTGCCAGAAATTTTACTTATTAGTCTGTTCACGAGCACGTTGTACGACAACTCGCTGTGATGACCAACCGGGAATGTCCGTCCTAGAGCAGAATAACAACTTACTATGTGAAGGAGAGCAAAATGGTATTAATGTCTGTGAGCACAATTACGACTTGCTTTTGGTCCCTGCCCATTCCTATCAATAAATGACGCTGTTGTGTTTCATATATCAAACAGAATGTGCAAATATTATTCTTGTAATGTCGCAATAACAGAGAACAAACAGAATTAATAATAGAAACAAATATAATAAACTTTAATAACAATGAGTTTGTTGGTGCTTGTTTGTCATTTTTGCTGATGCTGTTTACAATATCGTCGTCACCTCCTTGCTTTATTTTTTTTTACTGCGCAAGAGCTGTGTTGGGTACATAGAAATCTAGACTATCCAAGGAAACAAAGGGGACAATAACGACTTTTTCTGTGATGGGTACATGGACTGTTCATGGGAACAATAAAAACTTACTCTGTAATGGTTACATGCATAGATTGTCCATGGGGGACAATAACAACTCACTCTGTGATGGGACCCGCCAAGAGTGTCCGTGGGAAGAATAACATTGGCCGTTTGTGGACACAATAACAACTTACTCAGTAATGGGAACCAAGAGGTTGGTGGAGATAATAACATAGACTGCATATGGGGACAATAACAACTTTCTGTCTGATGGGTAAATAGACTTTGTTGAGGACAATAACAACTTACTGTCGGATGGGTACATGGACTGTCCATCCGTGAGCACAATAACGATCTTTGAGGCATCCGCCCGACCACCGTTACTTGAGTCAAACATTCCGTGATTCACGAGACTGAGAGCTTTTTCTGTGTGAGTGTTTGAGTCCAAATACGGGGCTGACAGCAAAGCCTGAAGAGAAAAACAGGAATCACCGGTATATTTCTGAAGAATCTACAATATGTTTATTGAACGTGTTTTACCCCTCATTCCCCCCCTCCCAATAGACATAATTTAGATCGCTTAAAAGAGATGGTCTGCTTTGGTCCTCCCTATCAGGCCCAACCTCGCTTGATTGGGACCAGGCGTCCAAACCGACAGACACGAGTCTACTCGAAGAAACTGCAGGATCGAAGGAATGTCATATAGCCATTCTACATCCATTCAGCCAATGGTTTTTCCCCCTTAAAGGTGGGGTGGGGGTGTCTCTACACCCCGTTTCAGAATATTCTTGCTCTTAAACGGGTTTACATTATGCGGATTTCTAAAAGCTAGATCTGTCTTTACCTTGAGTCTGAATAGTAATGGATAGAGTTACGCCTATAACGGAAAGAGATTGTGACAATGTGGTGGAAGCTTCGTTGAAGAAGTGCATTGTTCAAACTACACGAATATTCCGTTTGCTAGTTCAAAGGAGAGGTTTTTTAAAATCCTTTCCTGGAGAACAATAAATGAAGAAAAAAGAGAGGTGACGTCGGTAGTTGAGTGGTTTGGCTACCGAAATCATAATTAATCATGAGATTGCGGGTTTGGGGGTAAGAGGCTCAATTCAGTCTAACTTTGTGTTCAAGGGATAGACATTCTGCATGAATTTTCCCATTTTTAGTTCCGTCTTTATCAGAGATAGACATTAAATTCGGAGGTCCCTCTGTAATGGCCTTACAGTGTTGCAAGAGGCGTTAAACATATTATACGATTTAGCACGTTATTCAGAAGGAGAAGAAACATAAGACGATGAAGGGGAGGGGTTGGAGAAAGAGGACGCCAACAAAGAGGAGGAGGAAGGAAAAAAGGAAAGAAGGAAGGAAAAAAGGAAAGAAGGAAGGAAGGAAGGAAGGAAGGAAGGAAGGAAGGAAGGAAGGAAGGAAGGAAAGAAGGATACAGTCTTACCTGAGACAGAGAGTTGTGGTTAGTGTGGTCGTTAAGATCAAACAATTTCTTTGCGTCGGTACCGAAGATAACAGCCCCAAACTCGACATCTTGAGGGCCAAGCTTGAAGTTTTCGGTGAGGTTAGCGACAAACTGGAGTTGGTGGTCGTAGTTGTCGGAATTGTCTAAGTTAATGCTGCCAGACGAGTCCATGACGAGAATCACATCCGCTTTGGGAGTGCAGATAATTTTCGGCGACTGAACAACTGAAGTAAACCAAAAGAGCAAGACATAGCATTTCTCGAATTTGAACCTTTCGACACAGTGCAGCAACAATAATGATATTGGTTATATGAGAGGTTTCACCTGAAATATACAGTCGTGCCTGTTGTAACGTACCTCTGTCCAAAACAATCACCTGTACAAACGGCAACTCATTATTCCACCCCCCCCCCCCCCCCCCCGAGTTTTAAAACATTATAATAAAGACATTGTCCGAAGCATCCATCTGTCTAAGAGGGCTATTAGTTTTCTCCTCCACAACGAGAAACTGTCTTGGACAATCTCGACTGTGTCTCTCAAACTTATCTGTTTGGTGTGGGGTGTTTGAAACTCTTTTCAGAACATTTTATTTAGAAATATCTAGAACTTCGATTGCCCGCTTATATTCAACTATAATAGTCGAATGTCTTACCTACATGTATCTCACCCTAGAGGTAGCAGCCTTAAAAAATCTCTAAACGGTGATGACGACGATGACGACGACGACAACGATTACAACAATAACAGCAGCAACAACAACAACAACAACAACAACAACAACAACAACAACAACAACAACAACAACAACAACAACAACAACAACGATAGTTTTGTAACACTCCCCGGAGAGTACAGAGAGCTCCGTCTGTGCTGTACTAACATGTAGATGAATTTGATTCAAATCCCCAACATTGCATTCTTGAAACTGGGCTGTTTGGGTACCGGTAGTAATTTCAAGGCTACCCACCCACTTGGTTTCGTCCTATCACAGATGGTCTTTAATACTCTGAAATATCCTCACAGAGTTGTTAAAACCCAAACGAAGTTAGGCCTATCCTAATAATTCCTGACGCTTTTCCAACATAAAACCTGAACATGCTTCAGATAATATATTATGAAATGAGCAGTCCTATGCGTGTAAGTCACAGAGGAAAAATTTGGCCTAGCCCGTTGCAATTTTCTTTTAGAATATAGATCTAGGTATTTTAACGCCCTCATAGACATTGAGGAGGTGGGCTTGGGCCCTGCCTGTCAGGGCCAAACCGGACAGAGATGGATACAGCGCCCCAATAGAAAGACTGAGATACCCGATTTAAAAAAATTTCCACATGGGAATCGAACTCGGGTCTTCTGCATCTAACCACTACACCATAAACATGCTGCTTACTGCAGTGTCTTTTGAAACTGATTTCCTTTAGAAAATAAGACAGTCTCAGTCTACTGCAGTGATTATTATTAATAACAATATAAATAATGTATTATATACATGCATGTTTCTATAAAGCCCACTCCCGTACAATACAGCTCTAGGCGCTTTACAATACCTTCATCTCAACACAAAACATCAGTGGATTAATACGGATGCGTTCTTTAGAACAATGCTGACACATACGCAAACATTCATGCTACCAAAACACAATGGAAAACAATATGGAGAACCCATTATGAAGATAAGAATACTATGATTAAGAAAAACTAACCAATATGGCATTTCATAAGGTGTTTTTGAATAAATTTTAAATTTTGTCTCCGACTTTGTACCCTTCCAATGCTGAGGGGAGAGAATTCCAGATAAAGCACTTGTGGCCATTTCGTCGTCATTGCTTTGCTTTTTGTGTGCACCCTGTTCTCGTTAGGTTTACCAGGTGACATTGAAAAGAAAAAGACCGAAACTGTCCACTTCTCACGGTAGAATATTATGACCCTTAACTGACAATGTTATATTTTCTCTATACAATCAGCAAAGTTCAATACAGGGGAAAAGTAGTAACGTCATGCGGCTTTATTGACACTGCAAAAATCTTCCGAGATCGTGGGTGTCAACAGCTGTTAAACTGAGGGCATCTGGTGTGTGTCCCAGAATGAGACTCTACAACCCTAACCCAAACTTTGGGGCACAGCTATTTAACTATTTGAAGGGCAGCAGTGACAAGTGTGAGGTCGTGTGTGTTTGTGAGTGAGTGTGTGTGTATGTGCGTGTGTGCGTGTGTGTGTATGTGTGTGTGCGAGTGTGTTTTCATGCGTTTGTATGTGAGTGTGTATGGGTGTGTGTTGTGTGTGTGTGTGTGTGTGTGTGTGTGTGTGTGTGTGTGTGTGTATGTGTGTGTATGTGTGTGTGAGGGTTTGTGTGTGTGTGTGTGTGTGTGTGTGTGTGTGTGTGTGTGTGTGTGTGTGTTTGCGTTCGTATATGTCATCTTTTGTTAAGTTCGCATGAACGAAATGACAACGTATGCTACGAATGAGTCAAACGTTTTGCACTTCTATATAATAATATGTGATGATAAGGTAAGTATAATAAAATCAAATGTCCTAAAGGACAAACAGAATAAATAATATATTCGTCGTCTCATTATATTTCTTGTGTGGATGTAAGGGCTAATGGCCTTTCAAATCAATCAAATCAGCTCGAAATTTTAAAAAAATATTTTAAAATCGAAATTGTCCAATAAAAAGGCTACTAGGCAGTGGGTGGTTGGCGGGTGCTCTGGTGGGGTTTGCTCCTTCTTTCCTATCAAACATCTATCGTCCTGATCTATCCTTTTTTGTGTTTGTTACTCGCTTGTAACATCTCTAATCTTCGGCACTTATTTGACCTTATAGTATTGCAAATACCGTTAAACTTTCTAAAAATTAAAAAAATTACCAGGTTAATGCTACTTACCATCACAAGTCCTGTCCGCGACGGTGCTCGTTATTTTGTTTAGAGCGCTGAACCCCGCCACTTGGAACACGTCATCGGGCCCAGACGCGATGTCTCCCAGTTCTTGTGCGTTGGCGTGGGCGATACCAATGGATATGATGGTGACTCCCTGCTTTTTCAATGCGTCGGCGGCTCTCTTAGCTAGGGCAAGATCAAAGAAATTTTCTTTAAAAAATTATCAAGATCTGAAAAATTGTCACTTTACTACAAGTTAAATTTCCCACTTTTTCCATAATACTGTAGACTAGTTTGAAAGAAAAAAAGCCCCCCCCCCCTTTCCTTACACACACCTCTACTGACGCCTTTCTTTTGTTAAAAGTCCCCACAATAAGTTGTCTACTTTGAGCGTCCAATGCTCCAGTTGTCATCATCATCATCATCATCATCATCATCATCATCATCATCATCATCATCATC